AAAGACCTTTCAGTAGAAAGCAGTCCTGCTTTTTCTCCCTCTGTCAGAAGCAGCTGTCCCCCTGCTCTGCTACACCCTTCACATGCAGCGGTGACACTGAGGGAATGCCACAGATCATAACAATACAAAGCTTTTCCTCAAGGCTGGACCTCCTGGGTGAGTGTCTTCATCGCCCCACAGCATAAAAAAGCCAAGGCACTGCCTACCTCCTTCTCTGACCAAGGTCAGGCTGTTGTGCTATGCAACCTTCATGACACGCAGCAAACCCGAAGCAAGATATCATTCCTTTTTTCAGAACTGGAGCTACACCATGTTTGAACCTAATCTGGACATGAAAACAAAGCAGAGGAAGCCTTCTCACAAATCCAGCTGTTTCAGACAGGGTTCCATCCATGGTCAGAGGAAGGTCTCGGAGTCAGCTTCCACATAAGGTCTCACACCACTCTCTTGCCTGTGGAACTAGCATCTCCATGACTTGCAAAGAACACATGTCCCATAAGACCCTTTGAATGCCCACTGTTTAGTTTAAGGACTGGTTTCCTCCTGAAGCACCGCAAGTTATGATGCCACTCTACAATGTGGTTACTTTTTTACTGTTATTGACCACTTCCAGCAAAGGTTAGAGACCACTGAGTTGGAGGATGCAGCTTGGTTCTGCTCAGGGCTCTCCAGGACACGATCCCAAGACTCTACAACATGCAACCCTATGGTAAATAGGTGGGGCACTGCACAAGAAAAGTTTGGATGCAAAAAAGCCTAAGAGGAAGAGACTTTCCTAACTCCTTTTAACTCAGCTGGTGGCTGTTATTAGATGGGAAAGCTAGGGAATGCTGACTACATCCTCAAAATGCAGCAGGTTTCAAGGAGATGAAGTCAAAAAGGATACACTATGGCTGAGGAAGCAGGAATAAATCAGGAATAAAGAGGCCACAAAGGACTGGTCTGTGAATTGAGAGGGAGGGAAAGACTCGGGAAGAAGTGTACAGGGAGAGGGGAAAGAGAGAGCTGGGGCATTCGGTTTTGATTGACAGTCTCATGAAAGCCATGGTCATGTCGCTGTACTGCACACTGGCACAAATCTACCCCACTGCAATGACAGTACCTGAAAGGAACATGTCACTGGGTGAACAGGGGAGACGACAGCATCTCTCCATTTGGCTGACACACACACACAACCCTCCTGCCATCAAAGGTGGTAGACAGATTCACATCACCAGGTCCCTTGCCACAGCCACACGTTGGCAGCAGGGACACTGCAAGGTCAGCAGCAAAGAGGGGTCACACATGAGAGCCATGGAAGAAAACCTGCCCTGGGTCCAGCTCCAGCCAGGGGCTCAGAGCAAAAGTACATGTTGAAATCTAGAACAGGACCAAAACGTGCCAAAAAATAGCACTGGGAGGGGGAAAAAATCCACCACCTCCTCCTGAAGAGCAGGTCTGGTACCACCCCGGGGTCCCAGTGGCTG